CAAAAGGAGGGGAGTCAAAGTTCAATCAACTGAGGCAAATGAACTTGTCGCGATAATGAAGCTTTCTATGGTACAAGAGCAGCAGCGTCGGGAGAGCGATGCCCGACAAAGAGAAATGGAGGAGCGTCGCCGGGCGGACGAGAGGGATGAGGAGAGAAAGAGAAGGGAGGAGGACCGTCGTGAAGAAGTGCTTCGCCGGGAGCATGAAAACAAACGCCAGGATCGCTTTATGGAGGCGGTTCTGTTAATGATGACGCACACGGTATCTCAAAAACATCTACCGCAACGCCCTGACGATGCGTGACTCTAGATTCCAACGTTCCCATGAAGAAAAAAGTTAGCATCAACGCTTAAGTGCGGCATGTAAACATTGAGAATTTGGTTGATTCCTACCACTGCAGCTCGATAGTTGTACCGGAGAACGATTGTCAACAAGATCAGTTTTCTTTCGCCAGTTTCTTCGTAAACCATCCTATCCAAAAGCCTCGGAAACGTCCCTTGAAACCCGCGCATTCCCCACTCTGATTCTTGTCGCAACGAGGTAGCCTGCCGAAGCCTCATAATTTCAGTAGCGTTTTGTCCTACTCCAAGATGATCTTGCGCAGACTTTATGACAAAGGGATGAAACTCTCTGCAAAATGCAGAATCGACCACACACTTGCCCTCCGTTTCCTCGTACACTTTTCCTAGTTTTTCGTAAATACCACCCCACTCCGCTATTGTGGAATCATGAAACGCGCCCGGAGCATTTACAGCACACATTATTATCCGTCCATTTGGGGCAAAGACAAAAACATTCCCGACATAATGGTCATGTGTCCAACCATTGTAAAACATATTTTGTATTACACAGTCACCTGCCTGTTGTAGATATAGTTTTAACCCATCCGCACAGCAATAAATATCCGGAAGCAATGAATGCTTCTCCCGAAAGCTTTGTTTAAACAAATTGATCTCCTTAGCTGACGGTATTTTGATGGAGGCACGATCATCATTTCGCAAAACTTTAAAAAGTAAACGGCGGGCGAAGCGATTGTACAGCGAAGCAACTGAATGCGTAACCTCAAAAAGGAGACACAAAGTCATCATCGATCCCCGTGTGCGATGCTATGTGAGAAAGAGTCCCAGGCACTGAGTAGAGGAAAGTAAACGCGGTCTTCCTCTCGCGACGCGCCTATTTGGGAGAATTCGAAGCCTTCCATCGCTCGAGTACGGTGTGTATCTCAAGTACATTGGGGCAAATGCGTTAAGAATTGTTGTAAATGCTCGGTGGTCGAACGCTGTGAGCGTGATTAAAGATTGATCGCATCCACTGCCGTACAAAAAAGCGAAAGGAGCCATAGTAGGACTGAGAAGCGCTCTTCGAGATATGCGTCTATCACGACGATGTTTACCTTTCGCATTTAGACGGGCTCTAAAGGTACGAGGCTGTCCATCGAGAATGAGATGATACAGAATAATGATTTGCAGCATAAGCGAAGGCATACTGTGGCTAGGGTACGCGATGAGGACGAAAAGGGGAAACGTTGCGATTTGACGAGGGTGGTTCTGGGAATTCGCGGTCGTCCTACACTAAGGAGTTAGATTCGGGCTCATGGGACTGCCAATGGAGTATCCTACGGGTACACAACGGGATAGTGTAGAAAGTGCGGTGAGCTTCGACACAAAACTTTTCAGGACGCTAGTACAGTACACAATCACCTTTTTGCACAATTTTTGTGTAAAAGGGTGCATATGCATTTTATGATTTCAGGAGCAGCCCAATAGACCTTTAGTGCAGTTATCGCTCTGTATATTAGAGGACACGTCGATTGGTACAACAGTAGGGTAGCATAGCAATCGACTCAGACGTTGCGCAGAAGATCGTCACATATGCGAAAGCGGCATCATTGTGGTAAACACTGTGTTTTTGCATAAAGCAAATGTACAATTTATATGGACATTATCATTGGGTAAATACACAACCATAGCCCCCTAAGATCGACTCTTTACAGAAACGACACAGTCATCATGCAAAGACCACGTATGCCGCTCTTGCCGCCAAAAGAGTTGCAACTCAAACACTCTACACTGTCAGGAACAAAACGGACTCTGTCCCTAACTACGAACTGTTCAGGCGCCCGCGAGCCTATATAAAGCGAGCAGGACGCCACTTCTTGTCACCGCACATCCTCACCCGCCCTCACTCATCCCACCAGCCCCCACGCACGCCCAACCGGCGCCCTTACACACCCAGACCCGCCTACACCCGCCCTGAACCGCCCTGACCCGCGCCCGCACTCGCACGTACCCGCCCTCATCCACCCTCACCCACACCCCACCCGTCCTCACCCGCCCTGATCCGCTCTCACCGGCCCTGATCCGCTCTCAACTGCCGTCAACCACCATGGAATACGTCACCCCCACGAAGGCTGGAAATGTTCTGAAGATACTCGCCGAGAAACGGGCGGAGCGTGAGGAAAATCTCGCTGTATTTCTCCCAGACAGTCAAGCCACTGACACTGACTCCGATGTCGAAGATTCAGACTCGCCAGTCATGGACGCCTTCATTGCGTCTGGGGGAGCCGGCGCTGTTCTTGAAATGACAAACTTTTCTCTTCTAGAGTTCAACGCAATCTGGAACATTCTCAAGGATGCAATCACTACGGACTGGAATTGCGGTCGGGGTCGAAAATGCCAGCATCAACCGAAAGACGTGTTCTTTATGTTACTTTCCACGCTGAAGCACAGTGGAAATTGGGACTTTAATGGAAAGATGTTCGGCGTCAAAGGCCCAACATTTGAGCGCATGATTCTAGGGTTTGTCGAGAGGATTGTGGATGTACTGTATGATCTGGCGGTGATCAAGTATGAGAAGCGTTACACCATGCAACGTCTTCTGTATGAGAAGAAGACCTTCAAGCACTACAAGTTTGCACTGTATGCTACGGATGTCACCTTCCAGGCATGCAACAGGCCATCCGGAAATCACGAAGAGAGCAAAACCTACTTCAGTAACAAGCACAAAATGTATGGGTACAAGTCCGAGGTATCGGTATTGCCAAACGGCATCGCAATTGGAGCAACGCCACATCAGCCAGGCTCTGTTTCAGACTTAACAATCTTCAGGGACAACGTCCAGTGGCATGGTTCAGCACTGGCAAAAACCCGAGAGGAAATGGAAAACTTTCCAGATGTTGGTCCGTTGGCGGAGGAATATGAGGGGCTTTGGGCTGTTTTGATGGACAAAGGTTATCAGGGCGCAGCAGATGTCATTAGGGCAATAAGTCCGAAGAAAAGGCCAAAGGGAAGAATGCTTAGTTCGGAAGAGCAGCGGACAAACCGAAACATTAGTTCTGACCGCATTATTGTAGAGAACTACTTCGGGCGGCTCTGTACGCTATGGGCTGTAATGGCCAATAGATAGAGGTGGGATGAGAAGCATTACGACCACGTTTTCAAATTGTGCGTTGCGTTGACAAATTTGCATGCCAAATGGCACCCATTGAGGGATGTCGACGGTCTACACGCCAAGCAGTACAAACGGCGACTGACTGAGATCGGCGTCAAAAAAGCTGAAATGAGTAAAGCTTCGCAGAAGCTCTACCGCGCGAAACGTGCTGCACGCATGTCCTCGGCGCTGGGTGCGGATGGAAGAGGTGAAGAGATGGGCGCGGGGGCGATGCTGGACATACTTAACACTTAGTATGCTTCGAAGTACGCCACTGCTTACTGTGTCAGTGCTCAAACTCGTTGTTCTTTCTTTATGCTTGCTCTTTTGCGCAATTTGCTCCTGTTTGCGCAACGATTGCGTCAATTGCAAAAAATAAAGTCTTTCACCTACAAACGCCGTTCTCTGCACACTGCTTAGTGTTTTCACATTTACAAAGCTACTGAATTCGAGCTCTAATGAACACACGAAGCGTCAGCGACGGCAGACGCTGGTAACGGAACATTTCGTTGCCACGTAAACTACTTTTTAGCGAGCCCCTTAGATAAAGCACATTCAAGATAGTGCACAAAGAATGCGCATGGCACGAGGGTGCACTAATTGAGAGGGTCGCCTGTAGACAGAAGCATACCTCTGCTCTTGTCACGTCTTCTCATAACATATCCCCGTGTCCACGTGTAAGATGCACCCCTGCTAAACCGCGGCACGCCTCGGCGGCGTACAACTCTAGTTTCGGACGTCGTTCCCGAAACTCATGCGTTCATGGCCTTCAGATCCCATCCACTTCAAGTGGGGAAGTTCCCCCCCAACGTTTTTACTCAGCACCCCCAACCCTTAGCCTCAAGGGACAAAGGGTCATTCCAACCCTAATGACACAACTCCAGCCCAATCCGCGCGCCCCAAGCAAAAGCGAACACGTCTATCCCTTCAACAGAAAGTCGAAATTGCGAATCTCACACGTACCGGTATCTATTCTACAGAAACTATCAATTATTGTTGCACTGAATGATCCGTTGGCGACTTATTGTGAAGAAAAAGTACCAACTGTAGACATCTCAAGGTGAGCAGGAGGTGGAGAAGAAGTCGGATGTAATTGTAGGAATAGTCAACGACGCGATGGATGGTCTGCAAAATCTGTCTTGGCTCAGTCGGGCTTAGAAAACAATGATTGCAATAATGGTGGTTCCGACACGCGACAATGTCGCCCGATGCCAACTGCTGTTAGGCTCACGGAATTGTTTCGGGGGCTACAGAAATTGGCGTATGAGTGCAATTTACAGGAAGCAAGTTCTATGTTACGACGCGCGAGGAAAGCATTTCTTAATGCACGGGCTCAGGGAAGCAGATCACAAGAGAGACAAGCGGTGTTAGGCGATTATCTATGACTAAAACGTATCTAGGTAAGCATTAGAGGGGTGTATATTTCCTCCGTTTCACTCTCCGCTAGTAGTGCCAGTACTGAATAGTGCCACCCTCGGGCATGTAGCAAGGGGTGGCACTATTGCGTGTATCCCACTGTACCCTTGTACAATGTAGTACAGTAGAGGGATCAGTTCGTAAAGGGCCGGTCTTAACAGAGCACGTTCTTGCCCACCACCACCCTTATTATATCAATTTACACTGGAGGCCCGTTCTACTACCTCCGAAGGTAGAGATGATACATATGATACATGGCAGAGCATACCTCTATGCACAGCTGCCGTTGTAGTTCAGGATTCTGCACGCGGGTAACGGTTACAGTGAACCCTCTCGATATGGATACGCTCGGTGGACGTAATCCGTATCCATTTGCGGAGGATATTCACATCCGGAGACCGTATCATAACGGTGTCACGGTGCATCTCTCAGAATGTCTGTGCTTTACTTAAAAAATGTATCTCTAAATGTATTGAATGCGCTCTGCTTGCGTAGTTATAGGATGACCTGTGATGTTTACCCTACTTGCAAATTGGGCAGAGACCCAAGTTGCGACTGCGCGTTCGAGATATGGGCTGGTAACTGACGCGGAGCGCTTGAACTTTTTTGTAGAGATATCGGGACGAAAACCATACTTTCCGTTGATGATGCGGGACATGACAGCTTGAGCAGGAGGTTTAGAAAGGGAAAACTGTACTGAGGCCCACCTCGCAAGGGCGCTTTGTGACGTCTGCTCCTTGCTCTTTTTGCGCCGTTGGAACTCTGCACATATTTGTTGCTTTTGGGCGAGGTTAAAGCTCAGAGCGCTTCATCGACGATTGTCGCTTGACGGGGGCAGATGGCTACGGTGCTGACAACACGCAATGTTTGCGATCAGAGGAGATTTATTGGGGGAGGACCAACAGGAGTATATGCTAGAAAGATGTTTTTGTCGAGAATGATGATAATTGCGAAGCCTCAGACGGAGATTGGAATTTATTGAGCAGATTGTGAACGGATTGATCAAGAATGAACGGTTATGGGGTAATTTGTGCCTTGGCCGCTCAAAAGTAACCATAAAATACGTTTTAAGTAGGAGGGGTCTGTATGATATGCTTATTTCACATTGAACCCGATATCCAATTGAGGAATATTCCACAGACATTGTTTTTTGGTAAACATTTGTAAGCTACGGAGTCCGTCGCTCGACTTTTTATCCGTTTACGGAGGATATCCATATGGAGAATGATCCTTATCGGGAGGGTTCACTGTACACTTGTGGGAACCAGCTCAGGCATGCTGGTGTCGCGCGCAGTGTAGGAGCAGTTCTGTCCTTGGTGGCGAGTACGGAAGGCACAAAAGCCCGAGTATGCTACTCTCTGCACTGTATTTGCTCTTCACCTCTGCTCTCTCCCCTGCTTCCTTCCCTCCGGTGCTTCCGGTGTCTCTATCGCTCCATATACCTCACTATCTAGGAGAACAGCATGTCGCTCCTGCATTCAATTACCATTCTCGCTTACAATGGTCGACAATGCAATTGTCGGCTTTTCGCTACAGCTCGTAGACGTGAATTAAAACCCCATGCATGGGGATTGCTTTGCACCCTTTGGTCCTTTGCGCCCCTTGCCTCGATTAATCAATTCGTACCTCATGCATCCAACTACAACTATCCCATTCAATCCTGCCATGCTCTGTATGCTGCAAACCTGTACACGTTGCACAAATTGACACACCCCCCCCAGTCGACTGCGATCTGCTGTTTTCGATCGCTGTCGACTCACCCTGCCAACCTCGATCTTCGCACCCCCCATTTGCATTGAACAATTTCGAAACTCCGGCTTGGTTCTCAGGTACTCGTTCAATTCGTGCAAGTCCCTTTTACTTCCAGGTAGCGCTGTCCACAGCATATCCCAAGGAGAGATCGGGGGTTAGCCTGCCAGTGGCGCACATATCGTTGAGCTTTTTGTAAAGCTTGAGGTTTCTTTTTGTTAGCGCATCAGAGACGTTCTCTGTTCCTGGTATCCAGCGGAGTACGTCGAGCTCGCCGGACTCGAAGCTGTTTCTTATGCGTTGAACTGTTTGCCTCAAGCGGTATTCGGTACTTTCGTGCAGAGTTGTGACCGTGTCTTTCAGAGCTTTAGAATCTATGGAGAGCTCGTGACGTGTAGGACGTTTTGGGAATATGGAGTTGAGTGCCTCCTTGAGGTAGAACCCGCGATCATCGGCACTTGCACAAGCCAGAATCTCGGCGCCATAGGATGAGTAGCTAACCCTCTTTTGTCTGTGACTTGACCAATCCACCATGTGGAATATGTCATGGTTGTCCTTTTTTAACTGTTCAATTCTTATGCCGCAGAGTATTCCGCTCTGTCCGTAATCTTTGTCTCTAGGGTGAGACGCATCAGAGAAGCTGCTTATGATGACATTTTTAACGTTTTCGGGTTTCAAGAACTTGAGGGAAGGTTCGAGTTGTAGAATCTCAGCAACCATGTCATTTGCATCAACAAGGTGGCGTATTTTGAGGGCTGATATCTGCTGTTGCAGTACTGAAGTCACATACGAGGCCTGTGGCAAAACTCCGTTTCCTAAGTACAGGAGAGTTCCAGCGAGACTACGGTATTGTTTCTTCTCCATTTCAGACACTGGTTCGTGGATTTGTCTGCGCCTTTGCTTTGACAGTGGTATAGCTTTTAGCCTGTTTACATACCGGTTCATAGTCATTGTGATATTACCTGTGTCATCTTGATTTACTTCGCATCCATCGAAGAAGAAACTCTGGTCGATCACTGTTTTACCAACCTGGAACTTGTCCTTCATTTTGCGAATGAAACGTGTAATGTCCGGAGGTAGTCCTCCTATGAGAAAGTCATCTGTGACTTTTGCCACCATCAGCATGATCTTTCCGAGTGTGTCACGTTGCACGAAGAGCTGGCTGAGGCCAAACACCGTCTCAAGCCCGCCTTCCGTCAGCATCCATAGCTCTATCGTTTTTTGCCACTGTCTTCCCGCCTCGACAATGCCGTACGGGAGCTTGGTCAGTCTCCACAGTGTCCCTCGAGATCCCTGCCATTCCCTCGGTGGTCGTACGTATATGTCCCGTTGGATTGGACCGCTCTGCAGATAGGCACCTTTTATGTCCGCAAAGCCAAGTCGAAACCCCAGAAACGTAGCGATTGAGAGGAGTAACCTTATTACGCACAATTGGGCAGTTGCAGAATCTTTGCGAATGTCGTTCTTCTCTATATCTCTGTTTCCATGCGGCACGATACGCGCTTTGAGTGTACGGTCTCCGTGTTCATCAGTCTTAATTTTGTACACGACATGTGAGGTGATAATATTAGCACGGCGTGAGACGTTGTTTTCTAGCAGGAGCTCGTACGCATCTGACCAATTTTCTTCGTGCTCCTTGTCGAAAGCCTGATGTATGATCCACGGGGGCGCGAAGGCAAGCTTGCTACTGCTCACTTGCTGGGATCCTACGACGTCATGGATCTGGTCAAGGACGCGTGCCTTGTCTGACTGTAAGACTTTGGGGCCGTCTGGGGCTTCGTCGTGAACGGTTTCCGCATATCGGCCAATGTCATCTTTTGCCCCCTTGGGCTTATTTCCGGATGCAGATCCCATCAGGCTTGGGGTAGACGGATGAACGCCTGCCTCCGGTATGTTACTCACCCCCCCATCCGTCGGACCGTCATATCCGAGTTCATGTTCGACGGAGCATGACATGAGCTCCTGGGCTAGTTGTCCTTGAGGCGCGATACGCACGTCTTCGTATGCAACACGCATAGGCGGACCGCGTTGGGATCTACGGGCAATGAGGTGGTGCGGTTCCGCTTTGACGACCTTGGCCTTGACCCACTCCACTTTCTCGTTCTGTTTTGTCGTTTTGTAGAATACCCATACGTCGTCGTTAAGGGTGAACATCTCGGGTGTTGGCGAATCTGGTGCACGAGAATGGAGAAGTCTCTGTAGTGCTCTGGTGGCGACCTGTGCCGTGTGCGCCTCTAGAAGCTCTTGTGTGACATCTGTTCTTGGGAGCCCGAGTAATGAAGGGCTGTATCCCCGTGCTAGCTCAAACGAGCTCATTAGTCGTGAACCTGAGAACATGTTAGACAGGAACGTTGCTCGAGCAACAATTGTGTCGTGCTGTGCCGTGGTGATATCGGTGTCTAATTTACGAATGATGTCCTTCAAGGTCCCGTTCTTGCGCTCAACTATTCCGATTTTGTTATGGCGGCGTGCTGGCCGTGGTTTGAAATTAATGTCATGCACACGCAAGAAGTTAATGAGTTTCCTGCGATTGTACTCATCGTCAGCAGAGAAGTTTCGAGGTGCACCGTGTACGCATATCCAAACGACTTCGAGTTGCTTCACAATTGTGTCCATGTCTTTGTTTTGGACTATCGCTGTTTCGGTGTAGCCCGTGCCCGTATCGGTGATGACGAAAAGAATGCGTCTTTTCTTGCGCACTTCACAGTATGTAAAGTCTACTTGGATCTCTTGGTTGAATGCCTCATTAACGTGTGTGAGTGATATCTTCTTAGATGGGAGTGTGCGGCCATTTCGGACGCAGACCTCGCAGGCTTTGTCAACCTTGTCAATCGCCTTATCAAGCGTCTCAGTTAATATACCTGCTTTTGCGCATATCGCTTTGACCTCAAGTGGTCGTGCGTGTGTGAAGCGATGAATCTGCTTGGAGAACAGCAGTGGGGAGCGTTGGGAATTTAGCTGCAGGTTTGACATGAGCGACTTCACGTTGGCGTTTGCCTGCATAGCGACAGCTATGCGGAGCCGTCTATCCGCATTGCCACGTCTCACCTCTGGGGATATGTAGGTGTTGAAACAACGCTGGCTTACATCGGAAGGACGCTTGATTATGATGCACTTCTCGTTAAGAAGATTGAGAGTATTGGTAAATTCCTTCACATCCAGACCGATAAGTAGCGGGGAGCTGCCTTCTACCAGATGAAATGTGAAGGACGTCGGATTGTTACGTGTGTCCATCACAGTAAGTATCCAAGAAGCTACGATTGGCTTGGCGTTGATGCACTCGTTGCCCCAGCCAAGGGACTGATTGCTAAGTGGGGGATCGAGATTGAGTCTTTTTCCAAGAGTATCGCAGAGGTAGGTAGCATCGTCAATGCCACCCCATGAGGTCGGGGCTCCTTCATCTAGAATCGGATTGGGGTCAGCGCGGAGCTTCGCTAACCCCTTTACTGAAAATATTGACTGCTAGGTTTAAAAGCGTCATTATTCACTCTGTCCGTATCGAATCGCATACGCTTAGGGTCTCTGCGGGTCTTGCATTCGGGGTCATTTTTCCAGTGGCCGAGTTCACCGCAGTCTACGCATCGCGTATTGCTTTTGGGACCTGTATTGGCGGGGATTCGTGCTTTGAACTTAAATCTCGGACTGGATGGCTCGTACGTCATACTGACATTGCGACCTTTATAGGAGTGGCGCTTCGTCATCATCGTGCCGGAACGTCCTCCGTCATGGCGGCCAGCGTTGTTATAGGCTGAGGCGGCAGGTGTGTGTGATGGTGGTTTCAGATTTTGGTCTTGCGTGATGTCCTGAGACTTCACATCTTTCAAAGCGGCTACTGCATCATTCAAGCATATAGCATATGGGGCCCTTTCCTCTGTATCATAGCGAAATTTGTTCGTCTTTGCGGTTGTGATATTGAGTTTGTGCGCATCCCATAATTCCTGGACCTTTTGAGAGGCAACAGCTTGCTGTTCGTTGGAAACTTGATCCGTGAGGGATTTTTTCCACATGTCGATGGCATTCTCAAAACTATTCTCAATTGCTGCAAACTTTTCCTTTGTAATTTTGAAGTACTTGACGGTCGACCAACTCTTATCTTTTGCATCCGCGATAAGGATACTGACAATGTTATTGAAGGTGGAAGATGGTAAGTTGGCGTTCTCGAGGAGGAGCATCGCAAAATTTTGGCTATCTTGAGATGTATCACCGGCATGGCAGTGATTAAGATACGTCTGAGCAACACCACGAAAGCGCTCTGCAAATGAATCATACGTCTCATTCTCCTGTCTTTTGCATGAATGAATGTTCTGGCTCATCTTTACCAGTCTACGCACTCCATCTGTAACAGAATCCTTTGCGACTAGCTGGATGATTTTTTCGATAACAGCTTTCTGATCAACAGCATCATTATCTTCATCGTCGTCCGAAACGAGCTTGAGCTCACCAGCTGTAATGGCGCTATCGATAACTTGGATGAATGAGTAGTCCATGGCTGAGTACAGTGTAATCCCTAGACTGTTCGCAATACCCTTGGCTTTGTTGTCTCCGCCTTTTGCGAACGACCGTATTTTCTGTGCCCAAATACGCACGGCTTGACGCCACATGAACTTGTCGGTTTTTGCATGAAGTTTTGGCGGGTCATATAGGCTGTTTGGAGCAGAACCTGCTCCTGGGCCCATAACTGTGGGAACCAGCTCAGGCATGCTGGTGTCGCGCGCAGTGTAGGAGCAGTTCTGTCCTTGGTGGCGAGTACGGAAGGCACAAAAGCCCGAGTATGCTACTCTCTGCACTGTATTTGCTCTTCACCTCTGCTCTCTCCCCTGCTTCCTTCCCTCCGGTGCTTCCGGTGTCTCTATCGCTCCATATACCTCACTATCTAGGAGAACAGCATGTCGCTCCTGCATTCAATTACCATTCTCGCTTACAATGGTCGACAATGCAATTGTCGGCTTTTCGCTACAGCTCGTAGACGTGAATTAAAACCCCATGCATGGGGATTGCTTTGCACCCTTTGGTCCTTTGCGCCCCTTGCCTCGATTAATCAATTCGTACCTCATGCATCCAACTACAACTATCCCATTCAATCCTGCCATGCTCTGCATATGGAGAATGATCCTTATCGGGAGGGTTCACTGTACACTACAGTTACGTCAGGTGGTCGGCGCGTAGGCGCCAAGTGATTCTGTTGACTTGTTCGTCTGCTGTCCATGCCGCCTTTCGACAGGCCATGTCGCCTTTCGACTGCCCATGCCGCCTTTCGAGATTGTCTCAAGCCTTCCACATGATCATGACGTCGAGACCAGAATCTTGATTGCAGGTCCAAGAGAGAAAGCTCGAAAAATCACAAATGGGCCACCCTGCTTTAGGTTACAGCCAGGACACAGGCTTTAGAAACATTGGACAGTGTGTGGCACGGATGATTGTGTCTGCCAACGGATGCCGCGAGGGCCTCTGTTCAGGTTTACCACCGGCATCTCATGATACTGTACCACCGGCATCTCATGCTTGCAGTGAAACTGTAAGAGAAGACATGAATTGAGGTCACCGTACAAATGGTCCTATGAAAACGCGTACAGTACTGAACCTTTTCGGGACGCAATTCTCGGGACGAAGCGTATCCGCTCCTCGGCTCTAGCGACAATCTCCTTTTCTCCTGCTGTGTACAGCAGTAGAAAAGGAGATTGTGCGGGGTACAGGGTACATACCAAGTACCCTGCCGTTGGGAATGCGGCGACCTGCATCGCTGTGTTCGGGAGATGAGCGGTGGCTGGACGTGTGCTGGTGGCGGTATTGCACTTTGCGGGCTTGTATGTCATGTAGGTAGGACATAAAGTTTAGGTAGCGTAAAGCGGACGCCACCAACACCCTTGTCCGAAATACACTATTTAGCGCCTTACAAACGCGCGAAGACCATTTTATAGGAGGGCTAAGGACACTATTAACGCGACGTTTGGACCAAACTCCTTGTCCTGCGAGGGAAGAGATCGCGACTGTCCTTTTTTTTGCGTCTCGTTTTTCGACGTTTCCGCGAGATGGAGCGAGTGCATATCTCTTAACTGCTGCGTGGCCCCCAGACCAACGCATGTATCCATCTGCATATCCAACGGCTACGGTTGCCAGGACGAGTTTCCCAGCCTTTCATCGAAGACAATGGCCTTCCATTGCCATGGCCGGATGTTCGTGGTCATACGGTCGCGGTCTTCCCACACATCAACTTGCGACCACACATGCTACCCCGTCCAACTGTTCTCTGCTTCCTATCTAGTGTTTGCCATTCGGTATGAACATCCACGCTCTTCTGCAACACAAGGCTCGAGAGAGCAGACTGCGAGAACCAGTTCGAAACACATGGCCCTACTATCCTCACCCAACACGGTGCAATGAAGAAGCGCTGAAGACTATTCAATACTTAACGCGCCCCGTGCCTGCCGATTACGGTATGTCTCATTCTATACTGGGCCAAACAAAGGGTACGCGGTCCCCTTCTCTATACCGGCAAAAAGATGAGGTTTACTTCAGCTCTCCTCGTCCTTGCGTATGCATTCCACGCCCCGGCATGGCGCTTCGATATCCAGAGCATGTTCGAGAATGGGCCGCTAACCTTTCTACGACGCCCGAGCCACGACAATCAAGCCCCAGCAGAAGAAGTTGAGCCTCAGACCCTACCGAGACACAATGCGTTTCGGGACAGACAATTACAACTCTCAAACTTCACTCCCTGCAGCTTAGACGACATTCGAACTATTGGTGCTTGCCTATGTGCTGAAGCCCGAGATCTCGAAGGAGTCAGATTCACGCTTAGAGATACAGCGCTTTGCACCTCCCTTTTACAGCTCGAACCCGAACTATGGAGGCCTAGGTGCAACGACTTCACAGATTCAAACGGAAACGTGCAACGGTATCGCCTGGTACATGTCGCATTCAACACTCTCGCAGAGTGTAAGCCTGAGAGAGTGCAAGAAGAAACAAAAATTGCGAGGAGCGCTCCCACGATACCACCGACCCCCAAACCGTCCAAGGAGCCACCGACTCCTCCCCCATCCGAGGAACCACCGACCCCGACACCGTCCAAGGAGCCACCGACTCCTCCCCCATCCGAGAAACCACCGACCCCGACACCGTCCAAGGAGCCACCGACTCCTCCCTCATCCGAGAAACCACCGACCCGCACTCCATCAAGAAAACCTCCAACTCCCAAGCCATCTAAAACATCTTCAACAACACCATCCCCCTCTAGCTTGCCTTCTGTACTACCATCTGCTTCGGCGTCACCGTCCAACTCGAATCGTCCGAGTACGAGCCCTTCGAAATCGCCACGACAAGAAACTCCATCCCTCACGCCGACGCCGTCATTATCCATGACTCCGAATCCGTCGAAATCGCCCTCAATGTCCCCCCGAGTTTCAGTAACACCTACTCCCTCTAATTCACGACGCCCTTCGAGAAGTCCCTCAATGACACCCACCACAAGTTCATCTCTGAGTCCCCGTATTTCGCCATCGTCTAGTCCGAGCCCGAGCAAGAAAAGACAGTCAGCAGGTGGTGGGATATCTGTTCACACCGCGAAGCCAAGCCCTGAATGTGATAGCTCGGGAGACTGCTATAAATCGGGTAGTAAGCCTGTTGTTGAGCGACAGGCGACTGTTAAAGAAGCTTCGACTTCCGATTGCACCGGAGAGGAGTGCAATACGAGTGCAGTGGATGGTGTGAGGGCAAGTGCGATGCAGCCGCAGGTGATAATATCCGGTCTCCGAATGTACATGGAGGGGCTGAATGGAATGGGAGATGACTTGACATCCGGGACGGCAGAGGAATTGACGTCCCCTATGACATACGTGGAAAGCAGGGTACGACAAAGCAGCCGTTTTCTACCAAACAAACAGGGTAACATTCTCGGAGCTCTCGAAGTGTTGCTGCAAGTTGGGAGCAAGGTTTCTGGGGTTTTGAAGCCACTTCCGTCAGCAGGAAGAGCAGTATATCGAAAATCGAATTACAAGATCGAATGCAGATTGAAAAATGGAAAGTTGGCGAGGGCCGTTTTAACCGGAAGGAAGGTGGAGCTAATGATGAATAACATGGTAGAAGTGGAGATACCACTAACAGCTGTGAAAGATGAGTCATACATGGATGGTACTGATCGTCAGAGAGGACGTCAGAGAAGACGACGGGTTATAGTGGGTGCCTCGAAGTGTCGACCGAGGAGATCTGCTACAGGGAGAGTAGTGTTCACCTGCACATGCAGGAGGAGAGGCAGAAGGGGCAAAAGGAGCAGCAGTGGGGGAACAAGATAAGCGAAGCGCCTGAGGAAGACGGAGCAGCAGCAGGTGCTACAGTAGTGCTCTTCCCCCCCGTCGTTCGTTCAACAATTTCCACGGCATTCTCATGCTTCGCTAAAATACATCAATATATCTGTCAAAGTTGTCTGTTTTTTTTAGCCGCCAGTTCTGCTGAATCAAGGGAAACAGTACTGACGGTCACCGAATAAGGTTGTAAGGGATTGTGGTGATGCAGGTGGTCGCCCAGGCAATATCAAAAACATGGCGACAGTCTAACTATGTGCATATGCTTTTTTCAGTTTTCTTGACATATGTCCGGAACCTTTCCCCCCTTCCTGGAAGGTTAGCGTAGTAATGGTGAGGTGTACCGACGATTCCGACGACGATTCCGAGCGGTCTGGACTGTCCTACCGTATTCATCATGAGCGTGTTAGGCGATAACTCAATTCCAAACGAGGACAGGAGGCGGCAAGGGCGCCGACTCTCTCCCACAAACGGGCAAATGGCTACGCACGACTCCGTCCGTCTTACACAACTTTATTCATCAACTCCGAACCGGTGAAGCATCCCACGCAACCCGATCCAAGTAGGGGAAGGTCGCTATTCTCAACACGTGCAAGGTGCCATGCTTTGCGGAGAGCAGAGAAGGACACCGGCTGAGCGACTTACACGCTTTCCATTACCCCTCTGTGATTGCAAGATCACCGCCTGCAGCCGCGCAAGTCCATGACGCGCCCGGCGGGCATCCGTCCCCGACGGCAAAAAAAAGAAAAAAACCGGGCACATTTCGCACCACGGCAGCGAGCGCGCGCACGGCGTCGTCCTAAATGGCAGGCGCGGGCGGCCCTGCCGCCCGCCAAAGCAAATTTCAATGCTGTACAAAAAACAAATGCGCCGCGCCCCTTAAAAGCAGGGGTGTGTGTGTGCGTGTGTGTCTCTCTCGATCGGGAGCGGGGTTGCCTCGCAACTGTGCGCATCTTCAACATCTGCCTGCCCCCCCCCTCCCCCGCCCCCCCCACCCACAATGAATGCGTTTCACACTGACGGTTCCTCTCCCCATGCGGGCTCTCACTGCACCAGACGCTAATGCGACATCCCCGGCTGGGCGACGAGCTAGCTCGTGTGGTGCGAGATCTCGAGACAGGCCGCATGTTGATGACCTCGGAAAGCAAACGCCGCAGCACGTACAGTATGTAACGCCACCGTAAACCCCCCATCACGGTTCCCCGCTCCATACCCATGCACACTTTCCCTCAAGCGCGCTCCCCTTTTTCACATCCTCCGCCAGCGCCACCACCCGAAAAACGCGCCCTGGGCGACGACAACCACAGCGACAGCGCCCACGTCGACGACAGTATACGCTGTCTCCCTGGCGGCGCCCGACGCGACGGGCACGTCAGCGTAGTGCTGCGGGCGGTGCGGCGACGGCGGCAGGGCGAGGTCGGCGGCCGGGCGGAGGTGGAGGGCGGCGACGGTGGCGCGCGGACGTGGGTGGCGTTTGGGCCGGACAGGACGGCGGCCCAGCGGGCCGGGGCCGGGCGGCAGTGGGTCGCGGAGAGCAGCCAGCTCGCGGACAGACGGACGGCGGAGCAGCGGAAGACGGGGGCCGAGGGGAGCGGGACGTCCCACAGGGCGGTGTCGTATCTTACACGTGTACATAGCCCCTCCACGGTATTTAACACCGTCGTCGCTCCTTCCCTCAGTAAACAGGACTAAGGTCTTGAGTCTCTCCTACAGGCGGCGTGGAAGGGCAGGGCGGAGGGTTGGCCCTTCAGCATGCGCGGGGCGGGGAGAGACGTCGGGCACGCGGAATGTGTGACGGAAGCAGGGCCGAGACGAGGACAACAAATCGTGACGAGGTATGCGCACCGTTCGCTGACATGTTGCATTTACTGTAGGGAGACTCAAGACCTTAGTCATGTTTACTGAGGGAAGGAGCGACGACGGTGTTAAATACCGTGGAGGGGCTATGTACACGTGTAAGATACGACATGTTGCATCTACGAAAATTCTTTGCGATGCACGCATCGCGAGTCCTAGACGTTTCCGCGGAATTCTTCTTCCTCTCCTCTTTTTTAATAAATATTCTTTGCGATGCACGTCCTAATCGATCCATCTTCGTCTCCTCAGCAGATTGCCTGAAAACTGTTACCTCTGCCCCGGACGACCTCAACTGACATCCATACACGTCACCACTGGAATCCATGCCCACTTGAATTTCACCACTCGACAGAACAATCTGCTCCACCAACCTTCCATCGGCTCGCGCTACACACTCACTCAGGCCACACCCACGGCCGTGGTGCGTATCTCTCGATTTCCTTCATTATCTTTCGTACACAACCTGAATCCCGTGCCTTGTGCTTCACTCACCCATACAATTGAAAGTAAATCCCGGCATTACTTGCACCACAAAACGGTACACTCAGTCGCGCAGCCCGCATCATCAAAACCATTCCATCCACTGCATCCTCATCTCCCCGTCCCATTCCCACCTTCCCGCTTCCTCTTTTCCCCTTCAAGTCTCTACTCAATCCCTTCACAGCTTCCTCGTATTGCCAAACCCCGCCTCTCCGTATCACTGTCTTCACCCATCGCGCACTCAAAAATAGCCTCTTCAGCTCCTCTACATACCCACCCTGCTTCAAAACACGATATATATTCTCGAGAACATACTCCTCCCGTGCGCTCTTCCCCTCTCCGTCTCGGTCCTCACTCATCGCAAGCAACCCTCCTCCTGCCCTGCACACATACGCCATCTTCTTATACCACTCTTCTACACCCTCCTTCTTCTTCGCTTCTTCCACCGCGAAATCGTGCGTCAGATCATGCACCCGCAACCCACCACAACCCTTCTCATACTGCACTTCTACTAGTCCAACCCTTTCCATCTCCTTTGCACACCTTTCCGTCCGCTCCTCGTCCATCTCCCACAAATCTCCAACTAAACTCAAAGGTATCCGGTCTTGCTTCTTCATAACGCACAGACTCCGGTGCATCTTTCGAAACGAAAATTCATCAACCGTCTCCCCACTGTTTCCCACATCCGACTCCAGGATATCTAGTGACGTGTGCAATGTCCCCCATCCAACGACGAATATCCGTCCTTCGGACTCTCCCCGCGAATCGTGTTACGACTTTTCATCCTTGAAAGGTACGCCCCCATGCTTCTGACACTTCTCCCTCCTATCTTTCCCTCATGTATCTAACGCTCGTTCCTGCCACGTTCAGCGCAAGCGGCAATCCGCCACACATTTTCAGTATTTCACCCACGGCTCCCTTGCATCTCGCATCATCCACTTCCTCTCGATTCGCCTCACTCGCGTGCACAAGCATGTCAACTGCTTCTTTCCCTACTTTCTCCCTCGGCTCGAAAGCAACTCGCTCCCAAATCCGACGCAGCTCCCTATCCCTCGTGGAGAACAGTAGTCTGCTCCTCCTCCCCCCGCTGCCCCCCGCAGTCAGCTAGAACAGACAACTTTTGAAGGATGTTCGCGTTTATGTCGTTCACTACCCACACATCATCAATGATGAACAGACACACATGACTGCAAAACCATGCTTGTACCTTCGCTAACACCCTTTCAAACTTGCTCTGCTCTCGCATTTCCACAGCCGTCTGCTTGCCACCAGACGCTTCCACAATCAGACACAGTTCTTCAATTAGCCGTCCCACGTTTCCGTCTTGCCCCAACGACATGAAGTACACTCCTCCCGAAAACATCGCCTTAATATCAGCATCGTGCGCGATCGCTCGTAGAGCGCATGTCTTCCCGACTCCGCCCTGTCCCACGGCTGTCGCACCCACTTGCTTGTTCCTATCTCTCAGTAGCACAGCTGCTTTTAGACGCGACTCACACGTGTCCGGTAATCCATCGCTCCCCCGAGAATCAAGCTTCACATATATCGACGCAGAATTATGTTCAGCTCTTATCGACGCCCTGAACGTATCACCCGTGCCGGGCCTGGTCGACTCGACGGCCGTGCGAGTCGCGCGAATATCGATGCGGATCGACTCCACGGCCGTGCGAGTATCGATGCCCGCGCCTGCTTGTAGAATTCGATGGTGAAGGCGGTCCGCCTCTTCTTGCTTGCGCTTCTCTAGGACTTCTCTATCTCCCACTGCAGAGGCGAACGCACCGAGTCTCGCTTTTAGGTCGTCCGACTCTTTCTGCAGCTCTTCGAGGGACTTCCGTATGAAGCTTGAGATGTCCGCGATTTCACGTTGGAGCAAGCCCGTGTGCCGCGACGACGTTCCATGGATCGGCATGTCTCTCAGCTCTGTGATGTCTGCCAACAAGGTGGTTTAGGCGGTGAGAATTTCAGCAGAGAGCGTCTTGTTTTCCTTGTAGGCTTGGTGTCGTTCGATGAGACTTGCAATGAGGCGGACGACTTGCTCAGCCGGGCCGGTGAGGCCCAAGATACTGTATGGATCAGCCATGGTGATCGTGAATAGGGGGTGTTGTTCGGATTTGAATAGGCGGCGGTGGCATAGCGGCGCTTGTTCTTCTCTATATCTCCCTCTCTCGGAATCCCTTTCTCTCTTGCCGTTGTTAGTCGCTGTTTGTCGCTGTTTGTTGTCCTTGGTCTTCTCGCAGAGGGGGCGGGGAAGATTTGCTTCCACCCTTGGCGTTGCTAATTGTTGCTGCGGTGTTGGCACATCGTGTGTTTAGTACAAGTGGGCTCCGTGGCGCGCGTTGCGGGCCGCAAGTGGGGAGGAATGCGAAAGGGTTTGAATGTAACAACAAAGTTTTTGGAATGATGTCATTCCAAAAACTTTGTTGAAGCTGTCAACAGCTTCAAAATAAATAAATGGAATGGAATGGAGTGGATAAAGGCACACGGGGTGTTTGAGGAAACTTCAAGCTTTAGTTTTACCCCTCTTCCGCCCGCGCTTCTTCTCCATCCCCACCGTCGACACAAACATAAACGTCACCTCGCCGCGCCCGTCGCGCTCGTCGAACCTCACGCTGCTCGTGTTCATCACCCGCCCCTCCCGCTCCTTCTTCGCCAGCGTCTCCTGCTCGGCCGCGCCTACCGCCTTCCCCTTCTCCTGCTGCATCCTCGTCTTCCGCCTCCTTCTCCTTGATCTCCTGCAGCCGCTTCCGCTCCGCCTCCTCCTCCTCGCTCCCGTGGTCCATCACCTCCTCCTCCTCCTCGCCCGAATCGCCCCTGCTTCAGCATTGCGTAGCTCGCGTTCCCGTGGTCCATCACGTCCTCCTCCTCGCCCGAACCGCCCGCCGCCGCCGCCTTGCGCGACTCGGACCCCGCGCCGCCAGCCAAACGCGCGCGCCGGCTGGGCGCGGAGGGCGGAGGCATGTCCACCGCATCGTCCGCGGGAGAGGAAGGCGCCGCCGCGGCGCTCGACTTGCGCCGCCGCGAGCGACGGTCTGTGGGCATGACGTCGAGAATCGTCTGGGGCACGGAAGCGGTTCTGTGCGGATTCAGTTTATATTTAAGCGCGTTGTTTTCTCCAGATGCTTCATTTCAGCGGCTTTGGAGAACGTGCAGGGGTATCCTTACTCGGCAGACTTGCTCGCCCAAGTGCTGCAAACGCCACCCCGTTCCCCTCACACCCCGTTCCCCTCATAAGGAGAAGTGAACACGTGTACTTTACTACTTTACAGAAGTAGTAAAGTACACGTGTTCACTTCGTGCTTACACCTAGACTAACGTCTAGGAACAGAAGAAAAGTTCAGCACCACCCCGTTCCCCTCACACCCCGTTCCCCTCATAAGGAGAAGTGAACACGTGTACTTTACAGAAAAAAAGTGAACACGTGTAATAACGAGTCCCCTTTTTTCTTGCTTACACCTAGACTAACGTCTAGGAACTGATCCCGCTACAGTGCTACAGTGTAGTACAGGGGGGGGGGAGGGGGCCATACAAGGGTACTGTATACTGAAGTGCCTACTTTGGCGGTGCTTCTCTCTATATAGCTGTAGACAGAAGCATACCTCTGCTCTTGTCACGTCTTCTCATAACATATCCCCGTGTCCACGTGTAAGATGCACCCGTGCTAAACCGCGGCACGCCTCGGCGGCGTACAACTTTAGTTTCGGACGTCGTTCCCGAAACTCATGCGTTCATGGCCTTCAGATCCCATCCACTTCAAGTGGGGAAGTTCCCCCCCAACGTTTTACTCAGCACCCCCAACCCTTAGCCTCAAGGCACAAAGGGTCATTCCAATCCTAATGACACAACTCCAGCCCAATCCGCGCGCCCCAAGCAAAAGCGAACACGTCTATCCCTTCAACAGAAAGTCGAAATTGCGAATCTCACACGTACCGGTATCTATTCTACAGAAACTATCAATTATTGTTGCACTGAATGATCCATTGGCGACTTATTGTGAAGAAAAAGTACCAACTGTAGACATCTCAAGGTGAGCAGGAGGTGGAGAAGAAGTCGGATGTAATTGTAGGAATAGTCAACGACGCGATGGATGGTCTGCAAAATCTGTCTTGGCTCAGTCGGGCTTGAAAACAATGATTGCAATAATGGTGGTTCCGACACGCGACAATGTCGCCCGATGCCAACTGCTGTTAGGCTCACGGAATTGTTTTGGGGGCTACAGAAATTGGCGTATGAGTGCAATTTACAGGAAGCAAGTTCTATGTTACGACGCGCGAGGAAAGCATTTCTTAATGCACGGGCTCAGGGAAGCAGATCACAAGAGAGGCAAGCGGTGCTAGGCGATTATCTATGACTAAAACATATCTAGGTAAGCATTAGAGGGGTGTATATTTCCTCCGTTTCACTCTCCGCTAGTAGTGCCAGTACTGAATAGTGCCACCCTCGGGCATGTAGCAAGGGGTGGCACTATTGCGTGTATCCCACTGTACCCTTGTACAATGTAGTGCAGTAGAGGGATCAGTTCGTAAATGATACTGGAGGCCCGTTCTACCTCCGAAGGTAGAGATGATACATATGATACATGGCAGAGCATACCTCTGTGCACAGCTGCCGTTGTAGTTCAGGATTCTGCAGGCGGGTAACGGTTACACTACAGTTACTTCAGGTGGTCGGCGCGTAGGCGCGAAGTGATTCTGTTGACTTGTTCGTCTACTGTCCATGCCGCCTTTCGACAGGCCATGCCGCCTTTCGACTGCCCATGCCGCCTTTCGAGATTGTCTCAAGCCTTCCACATGATCATGACGCCGAGACCAGAATCTTGATTGCAGGTCCAAGAGAGAAAGCTCGAAAAATCACAAATGGGCCACCCTGCTTTAGGTTACAGCCAAGACACAGGCTTTAGAAACATTGGACAGTGTGTGGCGCAGGATGATTGTGTCTGCCCACGGATGCCGCGAGGGCCTCTGTTCAGGTTTACCACCGGCATCTCATGATACTGTACCACCGGCATCTCATGCTTGCAGTGAAACTGTAAGAGAAGACATGAATTGAGGTCACTGTACAAATGGTCCTATGAAAACGCAATTCTCGGGACGAAGCGTATCCGCTCCTCGGCTCTAGCGACAATCTCCTTTTCTCCTGCTGTGTACAGCAGTAGAAAAGGAGATTGTGCGGGGTACAGGGTACATACCCTGCCGTTGGGAATGCGGCGACCTGCATCGCTGTGTTCGGGAGATGAGCGGTGGCTGGACGTGTGCTGGTGGCGGTATTGCACTTTGCGGGCTTATATGTCATGTAGGTAGCATAAAGTTTAGGTAGCGTAAAGCGGACGCCACCAACACCCTTGTCCGAAATACACTACTTAGCGCCTTACAAACGCGCAAAGACCATTTTATAGGAGGGCTAAGGACACTATTAACGCGAGGTTTGGACCAAACTCCTTGTCCTGCGAGGGAAGAGATCGCGACTGTCCTTTTTTTTGCGTCTCGTTTTTCGACGCGTCCGCGAGACGGAGCGAGTGCATATCTTTTAACTGCTGCGTGGCCCTCCGACCAACGCATGTATCCATCTGCATATCCAACGGCTACGGTTGCCAGGACGAGTTTCCCAGCTTTTCATCGAAGACAATGGCCTTCCATTGCCATGGCCGGATGTTCGTGGTCATACGGTCGCGGTCTTCCCACACATCAACTTGCGACCACACATGCTACCCCGTCCAACTGTTCTCTGCTTCCTATCTAGTGTTTGCCACCCGGTATGAACATCCACGCTCTTCTGCAACACAAGGCTCGAGAGAGCAGACTGCGAGAACCAGTTCGAAACACATGGCCCTACTATCCTCACCCAACACGGTGCAATGAAGAAGCGCTGAAGACTATTCAATACTTAACGCGCCCCGTGCCTGCCGATTACGGTATGTCTCATTCTATACTGGGCCAAACAAAGGGTACGCGGTCCCCTTCTCTATACCGGCAAAAAGATGAGGTTTACTTCAGCTCTCCTCGTCCTTGCGTATGCATTCCACGTCCAAGCATGGCGCTTCGATATCCAGAGCATGTTCAAGAGTGGGCCGCTAACCTTTCTACGACGCCCGAGCCAGGAAAATCAAGCCGCAGCAGAAGAAGTTGAGCCTCAGACCCTACCGAGACACGATGCGTTTCGGGACAGACAATTACAACTCCGAAACTTAACCTGCGTCTTAGATGACATTCAAGATATTGGTGCTTGCCTATGTGCTGTAGCCCGAGATCTCCCAGGAGTCAGATTCACGCCTAGAGATACAGCGCTTTGCACCTCCGTTTTAGAGCTCGAACCCGAACTATGGAGGCCTAGGTGCGACAACTTCACAGATTCAAACGGAATCGTGCAACGGTATCGCCTGGTACATGTCGCATTCAACATTCTCGCAGAGTGCAAGCCTGAGTGTCATGAGAGCCATATACACACACGTAGCACACGTACAACAGCGATCAACTCACCACGATCGCCGCCGGCCTACGGATCGCTACCATCCCTACATAAGGTAGATAGAGACGCGATCACAGTAAACCGAGCCATCGATCTTGCATCACAGATTATGGACCCTAACCACGCACCACTACAAGACGATCATCTCGTATACCGACCACCCGGACGAGATCAGGACAACGAGAGCACGGCACCACAAAGCCCCGTTGCCCCAACCCCACAAACTCCGCCAGCAAGCGTAGAGCCAACACAACCCGCTCCGACCACACCCGTAGAGTCACAACACCAAGCTCCGATCACCCCCGTAGAGCCAACACAACCCGCTCCGACCACACCCGTAGAGCCACAACACCAAGCTCCGATCACCCCCGTAGAGCCAGCACAACACGCCCCGACAATACCTGCAGAGCGCCCACAAATGTCAAACCAGCAAGAAATAGCACCCGAAATGCCCCAAGCTGACACAAGAATGCATGGACAGCTACCTCCACTCGCAAGCGACGGAACGAACTACAAGCTATGGACGCAAACCCTCCACGACATAGCAATAATCAACAACGTCGAGGCAGCCCTCGATGAAAGCTCACCACCCCCCACAGTAACGAGCCCGTACCATTCCATATACCGCAGAAAATGTGCATTCCTACGCATGAGCATCATGACCAGCCTCCCTGCGGATCTGGCAAGCACAATCGACATGGACCTCAGCGTTACCCCTCAACAGCTTCTGGCAGAGATCAAAACACACTTCACTGACTCAACGCCAACCACACATCTCATCCTCAAACAAGAAGCACAACGCACAAAGATCAAGGCGGGAGGGGACATAGATGAATACATCGCAGCACACCGAACCATACGGACAAAAATGTGTCTCGCAGAGTACCCCAGCATTCAACATGATGAATCTGTCACAATAGAATTCATCATACACGGCCTCAACTCGCACCCGGCATTGCGACACCTACCCGACATGTGGATCGCGAACAACACAATCCCCACAACCATATCCAACCTCGTCCAACGACTCAAATCCATACAAGCTCGAGAAGACGAAAAACAGGAAATCCGGCAACAACGTCCACAAGGCATGAACACGACAGACCAATGGGCAGACAGCCCCAACTACCAGGCAATGAGACGACGAACTCGCAGCCGGAG